GTTCTAAGCAACTATGGCATAAAGATTACGTGTTGTCATCCCAACTAAATCGTTCTACCTCAGATTCAAGTTCTGCACCAGGTACTCGATATCTTCTTTCACAATTTCTCTCTTATTCTCATATTAGCTCAAAATATCGTGTTTTTTTAGCTTACATTTCAGGTAAAACGGAACCAACAATATTTGCTCAAGCTATTCTCGATCCACATTGGCAGCATGCCGTGAATATAGAATTGCAAGCTTGACAGGAAAACAACACATGTACTATAGTTGCACTTCCTACCGGGCATAAACCAATAGGGTGCAAATGGATTTACAAAATCAAGTATAAATCCGACGGCACAATTGAACGCTACAAAGCTCGTCTCTATGCCAAGGGATACAATCAAGTGGAAGATACTGAATATCGAGAAACATTTTCTCCCACAGCTAAACTCACTACTCTTCGTATTATTCTTACTGTTGCAGCTGCCAAGAATTGGTTTACACACCAATTAGATTTTCAAAATGCTTTTGTACATTGTGGTTTAGATGAAACAGTATATATGATACCTCCACTAGGACTACGGCGATATGGGGAGAATATTGTGTGCCGTCTTAACAAATCACTATATAGGCTCAAGCAAGCTTCAAGAATTTGGTTTTCCACTTTCTCAGCCACCATCCACAAAGCGGGCTTTCAATAATCAAAAGCCGATTATTCACTTTCACAAAATCTCAGGTAAATCATTCACCGCAGCTCTCATCTATGTTGACGATATTATTTTGACATGTAACAATCTTCAAGAAATTGATCAGCTGAAATCATTTCTTCTCAAGCATTTTCGTATCAAAGATTTAGGAGACTTCAAAATAATTTTGGGGTATAGAATTTTCACGTTCCAAGAGAGGAATATTTATGTCTCAAAGAAATTATGCCCTGGATATTTTACAAGATTGAGGACTCATGGGTGCTCGTTCAGACAAATTCCAAATGGAACAAAATTTGAAGCTTGTCCCTACAGATGGAATACTATTAGATGATCCTACCAAGTATAGAAGATTGATCGGAAGATTGTTTATCTTACGGTTACAAGGCTAAATATAACATATTATGTACGAGTTTTAAGCCAGTTCATGCAAGCGCCTCGAAAACCTCATTGGGATGCAGCTATACAAATTCTCAAGTATGTGAAAGGCGCTCGTGGACAAGGCTTATTATTACCCTCCACCAATACTCTTAGTTTAAAGGCCTTTTGTGATTCAGATTTAGAAGGTTGTAATGCCACAAAACGATCAGTTACAGGATACTGCATATTTCTTGGGAATTCACTCATTTCATGAAAATCCAAGAAACAAACAAATGTTTCTAGATCGTTTGCACAAGCTGAAGATCGAGCTATGGCTAATAAATGTTTAGAAATAACTTGGTTACTCTACATCTTGGAAGAAAGATTGCACAAGTAACTTCCATACCACTATATTGTGACAATCAAGCAGCTCTACATATTGCGTCTAATCCCGTCTTTCATGAGCGCACAAAACATATGGAGATAGATTGCCACACGGTACGGGAATAAATACAAGCTGGAATGATTAAGACTTCTTATATACCTACACGTTTTCAGCTAGCAGATATTTTCACAAAGGCTTTGGGAAACGATCAATTCGTGACTCTGAGAAACAATACTCTTCAACTTGAGGGGGATTATTTTAAAATATTCTTTCATTTAATGAAACTAGACAGGAGCACATGCAACTTTCCTATGTATTTCTTAGTTATGTATCGTGCTTACTCTATTTTACCAAAATAATATCATTAAATTTATGGAATGTAAAAGTATCTTATTACATTGTTAATTTTTGTTAATACAGTGCACATAGAATCTAATTTTATTTAATAATGAAATACTCTGTTTTATGAACAATTAACACTTATTTGTATTTGAGTTTTGTTAATAATAAATTTCTTTAGCCTTCAGTTTTCGACCGTAACCAAAGTTTGAAATTGAGATCGAACAAAAAGTGGAACTAAAACTTGTTGGGTACTTGTTCGAAATAGTAATAACTCCTAACATGGAGTTGTATTTGCACAAACGACTCAATCCGCAATTATCCAATTCACGTCTATAAATTTAGTTGACAGTGACTCTATTTGGTGTCAAGCGCTAAGCTTGAAGCTTAATTCACCATACTCTACCAGTGATAAAACCCCCGAACCAACCCAGAAACTCGAGATCTGACTCACTAGCCCAAAACTTAAAAATTTTCTCTCGAACACACTCAGAACTCTCATTTTACCTATCACTAAGACTGTATCTCCCACTCACAAAGGAATGAAGACAAAAATAAAGGAAAATCATGCATTTATATGTTACCCTCTCTCCGTTTCTACACCAAATATTTATACCCTGAGATACAACGGTTATCAGCGGAAAACCATATTAGAGTCAAAGTATGCCAAAGTTGGTGGAGTTTGACTCTAAAATCGCCTGAAGAAGACAAGAAGAGAGAAAGCAAAAGGATTTATGGTACATGGAGAAGAAGTACAGAGGAGCTGAAGTCAAATTATGTATAGGGTAAATTATTTAAGGGATGTGAGGGGCGGACAAGATTGACTACTCAATCTGGACGGTGAGAATGGAAGTCCAGAACCTTCTTCATAAACAAGGATTTAGTGAATGAGTGGGCCAACACCAGTAATGACACCGATTTTTACCACTGCCACTGTTGAGCGCCTTTGATTTGATTTTATTTTTAAATTTCGGCATTGACTTTTTTTTTTGAATAATTCTTTTTTGCTACCGGTCATTGACAACGGATTGCCGATTCACAACGTTCACTTTTTTTTTTCTTGCCTTTTTTTACTTTGTTCGTTGATTTTTTTTCCCGTCAATACAGTATTATTAATGTATAACCAGTGTTCTAAAAATTGGCCGAGGCGGCCGATAAATCGGTCTCCGAGGCGGAGGCGGTTAAAAACCTATACAATTTTAGTGTAAAGGTTTGAAAGATCGGTTTTTTGCCTGTGAGGCAGTTTGAGGCGGTCCGAGGCGGTCAAACCTTTATGGCGGGTCAAACTTCGGTGGCAAAAATCGTTTTTTTTTTTTTTTTTTTTTTTTTTTTTTTTTTTTTTTGAGTAATTCAAAATAAAAGTTGGGATTTTAATAAACAAATATGAGCTTATGTTTTATTTTGTTTATGTTAACTGTTATTGTTAAAGAACTAATGATGTATGTTAGGAATGTTCAAGAATAAATGTAAATTCAAAAAAATTGTTTTTTTATTTATATTTTATAAGGATATTTATGTATTATGATCTTAGTATTATTAAGCTTTTATTATTTTACTAAAATATATACATGATGGAGATATAACTATGTTTAAATATCTTTTGATATATGTTTTGAGTATTTATAAATAATATCTAGTAATATATTATATTAAATTTTAAAAATCGATTTATTTCTGATTTATCACCGATTAATCACCGCCGCACCGATTAATCGTGAGTCGGTCCCTGACCGCCTCCGACCCGATTACCGCTTTTTACAACCTTGTGTATAACACGACAATACTACTATATTAATATCTAGCACCGTAATATTAGAATTTCAAACTTCTAACAAAGTTTTAATCTAAAATATTTGGACCAAAATAAATTTAAAAAATTCTTACAAATCCCTATTTATTCCTCTCATTTTTTTCTTCTTGGAACTACGTACGCATGAATTCTTACAAACACTGGCCGTTGATATTTTTTTCTTGTTAAATTTGTTCTCGTCGTTGATATTTTCCTTTTCTTTTATTTTGAATTTTTTTTATATTATATTTTTTCCGCTACTCCGGCTAAAAAGAAAACCAGTAGAAAAAAGTAAACCTAGTTAATAATAAAGTCAACATCGGAAAAAAAAGTTTTTTTCAAAAAAAAAATCAACGGTGGTAAAAATCGGTCCATTGGTGAAGTTGGGGTTAAATTAGGGTGGATGAAATTTTGAGGTTTTTAGAAAGTTTTAAAATAATACAGGGGTCTTGTTGTAATTTCCTCACACAAAATTCCCAATTCAACCCTAATTCAAACGTCGATCGTTGCTTCTTGACGGTCAAACAGACGGAGGGACCTGGTTAAAATCGGTTAATTGGTGAGATTGAGTTTTGATGAAATTTTAGGGATTATAAGAAAGTTTTAAAATAATTCAGGGGTCTTTTGCAATTTCCTCACACAATAATCACAAATTCAGCTATAATTCATCCGTTGACAGTTGCTTCTTGACGATCAAACATGCAAAGGGAACCAATGTGTTAACATTTGATAAAATTAAAGTATATTTTGTTGACGACGGTAAATAGGGGACCAAAAGTGAAAAAACGTGCAAACTTGGGGGATCAAAACTGTAATTATCCCCTTTGTAACCGATGGATTACCCATCCTCGTTCTTGAAAATCCCATCAGATCCGTCAATGATTAGTCCAAACAAAAAAAAAACAAATTGAAATACGTGAAACTCCCTCTTCTATTATGAAACTTTTGGTATAAATTATATGACTTTTTCCATATAAAAGGAAGTAGACGAAAATATGAAAGGTCGTGTATGTAGAAAAATGTTATGCATGCACATTAAATTATCATATTTAAACTTGACACATTTTCGACTAATTATATATGATTATGTATGAATTAATTATTCTCAACGTTTATTACTTAATTGTCCTTCAAATCATACTTATTCAAATGATATTTTAGTCAATACCAAAAATGGAAGAAACCACCTAAAATTCATACTTTTATAAGTAGTATAGATATAGATAGATATAAATTGATTCAATTAATTATCTTACCTTGATTAGCATAAATCAGATCCCACTATAGGTGGATCACGGTTTATTAGCCTTAGATATTGATAATGTTAATCTTGCACATATGTGTATATATATTGGAATAGTATTGGTAGAAGATATACAATAACAACTTAAATATTATATTCTTTATACATTTTTTATTGACCATTTTTAACACACAGTCACAAGTTGACTTGTTGGTCACCTACTCTACTAGGCGGCACCGAAGGTGGCATTAAAGCCGGCACCAATGGTTCTTGAAGCCTGGTGATATTGTAAAACAGCTGATTCTCATAACGATAAATGCAGCTGGGCGTATAGACTCTGATCCCTGTCGAATGATCAATAAATCGTGGTATATATCTGGCGGCCTTGACCAAGCAACTAATACAATTTTCTGGGGATAAATCCGGCGTGCACTGCAACAATGTAAAAATTCCCTGACCATCGGGCCCCGTCGTATTCCCCACCGCCGCCTTCCTCAGAGTGCCACTGCCTGCCGCCTGCGCCCGAACGTCCTCTATCAGCTTTTCCCGGGCAGCCTTAAACCCGACGGGACTCGTCGAATTAGCCCCGCTATACAAAATCCTGTAGGGGAGGATCGCGAGAGTTCCGAATAAATTCTTGTTCGAGTAGCGAACCATACAGAATTCGGACCACATAATCGCCCCGAACTGATTAGGACAGTTGACTAGGATTGTTTGCGACACGATATTGACGCAGCCCTGACACTGGTTGAGCTGAACGTCGGCTCTGCAGAGGGCTGCGACGTTGGCTCGGCCGACGGAGGCGCTGTAGAAACCGCTGCTATTCATGTTTGAGGAGAGAGAGCGGAGAACGCCGTTGAGATCTGCACGGTACAAGCTCTCAGTTGTGTAGTTTCCGTTGGTTGAACAAATGAACTGATCGAATTGGGAAAGTGCCATGGGGAATAGGGTTGCCAGAATGAATACAATCAAAGATGGCACCCATCTTTTGCAACTCATCATAACTATTATTCTTCTTTTGGTTTTGTACAAGTATAATTATTTGTCCAATTATTCTCCTTATGTAATAGTGCGAATGAGCATCGTACGTATGCAGCCTAAAGAACAAATCCGTGTTGACAAAGTAGTATCATTTATTGCTTAGTCTTGGTTTAGTAGTCTGTAATAATATAGGTTAAATTACAACCACCCCTGAGGTATGGTCAAATTACAAAAAAACCCCTCTTGTTTGGATAATTACAATCACCCCTCAACTCCTCAAATTTAGTGGAATCTTCGAGATTATATGGAATATTATCACTTTTATACCCGTTTTATCATATTCGAACTCTACATTTTGAAGCAAGATGATCATAATATGTGTTTTTTGGCTTGTATATATCAGATTGTAGTGCATCAGATACTGTATTTTTACACAAAACGAGTACAAACTAGAGCACATTCCACGAAATCTAGATGATTATGTTGAATTTGACACCATAAGGGTGGAGGTGTAAGAAAAAGAACATAGTTGATGAATAGATGTTATTATCCAAACAAGAGAGGTTTTTTTGTAAATTAACTATACCTCAGAGGGTGTTTGTAATTTACCTATAATATTGTAATCCCACTCATCTTTAATTAATTCATGTTTTAGTTGGAAATGTTCAAAGTAGTAGACTTTACATATTATTAAAATGAGAGGTGAGAGAGATGTCTAAAAAATGAATTGAAGAGACACATACACTGTAATAAAAAATGTCAATACCAACAATCTCAAAATATATCATCAAATACTTGCATTCAGTTAAAGTATTTTTTATTTTGCGCTAATATTTTCTTATATATTATTGTTATTAAGGTGTTGTTTGGCTAAATTTATTTTATACATTTGATAAACTCTTACGCCTCAGAAGATGTTTTAAGACCTGATAAACTATTATATCTTATTTTTATAAAACAAAATTTTAAAGTGTTTGAATAATGAGCTTGTCTACTACTTTTTTTTATCCATAAAAGCATGAATGTTTTTTGTTTCTTAATATTTTTGTGCTTCCTATTATGCCTCTTATAAACTAACTTGCACCATTAATTAGTTAGGGTCGATTTTGTAGTAAAAATAATGAAATAACAAATTAATAATTAAATAATATTGTTTAAATATCAAGTTTCTTTTCATATGATCAAATATTTACACAAGCATTGATCGTTGATTTTCTTCTTATTGTAATTCTTTCTACATAATATTTTTATAAAATTCACTTCGTCTTAAACTAGGAAGAGTTTTACAATGACATCGTATAAACATATATGTAGAAATTAGTTTTTCGTTTTATACATAAGTAGTATATTCCACAAATATGATAATATGATATTGTTTCATGTGTCTTTACTTTTCATATATTGTATATGTGTAATCAATTTTCTTTTATGTAAAATAAAATGGTACTGAAACATTACTACTATTGTTATAAATACTTGAAAACTAAACGAGCATAAAATAATCACAAATTTAAAGGTACGGATTTTATATATAAAAAAAAACTTTGCACATTCGAAATATACATTTTGGTATTTTGCACCAAGAAAAAACTTAATAACACATTACACCCTTAAAAGATAATTAAACATTCACATTGCAACCCAATTGATATTTTAATAAAAAATTTCAATAATTCTTTTTTCATAGACAATTTTAATTTTTCCACCATTCAACATTTTTTTACAAAATTACATGAAAAATATATTTTCATACAAAAAAAAACAATATTTTTTTACCAATTCCAATAAAATTAGAGACGTATATACCTATTCAATAATTTCATCATTTTATTATGAAAATTCTTTTATTAAAATTATATTTGATCACTCCAAAGAAAAAGTCATTTCAAAATGCTAATAAAAGATGAAATTATCCCCATGAGCCTTAAATTTTCAATAGAATGCAATGTAAATGATTTAATACATTTCGAAGTACATAGCAGTAAATTTTTTCAGGGGTGCCAAGTGCGAAAATGATATATTCCGAGGGTGCAAAATGGAAATAAGCAAAATATTTAATGTAATTTATGTTATATATTTTTAAACAGCATTAATTTTCTAATATAATTTCTCTATAAAAAATATATATACAAATATTATTTGGTTATTAGTAATTATATAATTCAAATTTTAATTAAACTTATACTTAAGAGGTGTATCTTTAATATAATATTTATTTATTTTTAAATGTGAGAGGTATGGTGTATATGTATGTAATTAGACCTAATCTCAGGGAGGTCACTATAATTACTCAATATATGGTCAATGGTAAAAAATAGAGTTTAAAAAACGTTAATGATCACTATAATTACTCATTTACCTTTTCTTTGTAAGAAAATTATTGGTGAAATTGAATATCGATAAGTATTATGACTCCAATCACAAGCATATCTCACTTAAACTTTCAAGAATAGCAAAAAAACATTATGATGATGATAGTACAACACCAAGGTAACAATAAAATTATAAATCATGCACTAATTATTACCTATAAGTAGTTAAATTTGATATTATAACATATGTTTTACATGTCATATGTGAATTGACTAACTCAAGATACTTACTGCATTGAGTTGCCTCTAGCTCTATCTCCTTGTCTTTTAATTATTACTATTTTACAATTCATCTTCATTTAGCGGTATTGATTTCGATCTTGAAAATACTTAATTCACTTTATTTTATACTATTGGATAATATAATATTTTTCATCAATGAACCTTCCTACATTAGAATCTCAAATATTTTAGGGTCCATTTGATATACACCCTTAATATGGAAAATATATAGGGATAGGTCCACCCCTAAAATTCTTCCTTTGAGATAACCCCCTGGAGAGGCAAAAGTACTATTGTGCCCTTATATCTAATTTTTGCCCAACTGCATTCAGCATTTTTGCTAACTGCATTCAGCATTATGGTCAACTGCAATTAGCATTCAGACCTGCATTTATCACATTGTCAGATTTTTTTAATAAAAAAATATAAATATTTATTTTATTATTATTTTTATATATACCTTTGTTGTATTTTTTATTTTTTTATTTTTTTTATTTTTTTAATTTTTTAAAATTGCTTAATTTTTTGTAATTTTTAATTATAATATTTTTTTAAAATTTTTAAATTTTTAAATTTTTTATTTTTAATTTTGTTTCAATTTTTTGATAAATTTACTGTATTGAAATTAAGTAGACATGACTCTTGTATATATATTACATATGATTATATAAAAAAAACTTCATCTACACCAAAAGTAAAAATTCACAATTTAATCTTGATATTATAAATCAATTAATACCCAACAAAAAATTGGAAAAACACAATCATCAACATCACTGTACATCAGAAAAAAACACATAACTTATATAGCTTATATATAACAATATATTACTACGAGTTACTACACGTGACTATATATGACTACACATGACTATATATGACTACATGTATATGACTACACGTGACTATATATGACTATACGTGACTATATATGACTACATGTATATGACTACACGTGACTATATATGACTATATGTATATGACCACGTGTGACTATATATGACTTGATAACGCAAATCTCTCCTACACTGAAACAAGTACAACCAAGTTTCGATCTGGAAAAATATTCTGCAATTGCATTACCCGTGCTCTTATTGGAAAAAAAAGAATCAATCATAAATAAAAATTCATAACAAACATCGTAAAAAAAATTATTTAAACAAAACAAGAATTCACACCAACCTATGGCAAAAACTATTAAACCTTTCCATCAAAAGAAATGCCTTCTATACTAATTTTATCTATTTCTTTCTCTCTCTGTAACAAGGATTCTTCATCATCATGTACAACAAAACAAAAATTCATATGTCACATACACTTTGTATAACATATAAATTTGAAAACACTGTCTTACCTAGCACAAATATTTTCCATCGACTCGATTAGCCAAAAAGATACCACACAAAAAAAAACATATCCGCTTGAACCTCCAATTTCAAACCATCGATTCAAAAAAAAATATGGATTTTTTTTTAATTTATGAACTATCAAATGACATGAACTTTGTCAATAACCCAAAAAAAGGCAAAAATTCTTCTTAAAACTAAATGAACGCTGCAATACCTAATAATTTATGCATCATAAAATTAATGAAGCACTTCTAAACAATTATATTGCTACATTAAGCAAAGTGGAAATAATATAGTTTTTTAAATGAAGTCAATTATTTACCCTGACAATTCACAATCAAATTGTAACATAATATTTTTACCGTAGTACTTGTATATGTTGTAATTCTTCTTCTTCTTCGTCGTCGGCGCCAGACCTGGCGAGAAAGTGTTTAATGAGAGAAGATCCGGCAAAGAGGGGAGTGGTGATGGGCGGTGATGTCGCCGGAAAGGAGAGTAGCGCAAGGCAAATGGAAAGCGGTGGCCGGCGACAGTGGAGTGGCGGTGGGCAGCGGCGGCCGACGATGGCGCGGCGGTGGGCGGCGGTCGGGCTGTGGTAAAACGAGATTGAAGGGAACGGGAGTTGGGGAGAGTCGGCGACGGTGGAGTGGCGGTGGGCAGCGGCGGCCGACGATGGGGCGGCGGTGGGCGGCGGTTGGGCTGTGGTAAAACCAGAATGAAGAGAACGGGAGTTGGGGAAAGAGAGAAAAAAGAAACGCTGTTGTGAAGTTAGGGTTTTGCCTAGTAAATACATTAAATTGAAATTAACAGGGTAAAACAGGTTAAATTATCTAGGGGGGTCTAACAAATTAAGATCAAAATTTGGGTTTTTACCTAGGAAAGAAAATATTATTGAACCTATACATATATATTTCCAAAACTAGGGGTGTATCCCTCATTTTCCCAATATTTTAACATGCATTCCTAAAGTAAATATAATTTCTTTAAGAAAATTATTGTCGTAAATTCAAAAGAA